TTTTTAAACTTCTGTTGATGCTGAAACCTAAACCTAAAACAATTCAGTAACTTTTGGATTTGATGTGCGTATTTGTATATTGATAAAAACCAAAATGCCAAACTCAAATCCAGCAACTGGTTACGTATGATTCAGATTTTGTGTTTTATTTATTTTGACTGCTGAAGAATGGCCACCTCCAAATGTAGCTATCTATCACAGTATCACTGTTCTTGGCTGGTTGCCACTTTCTTCTATGGTTTACATCACAAGCACCTCTGTCACCTCTAAAGGTCGGTCACAACAAAACACTGATCGTGATGTCGATAGTGAGCATTGGTTGTCAGTATGCCAGAGATTTTGGTTTAAACCCCTGGTCTGATTGGCTGTTGGTCATGTTCTTCGCTTGTTCACGGTGCAAAAACTTGTTGGTCCAATGGTTTGCTAATAGCCAAAAATGTTGTTGTTTATCTAGTATGTTAGCACTGCTTGTTGTTTAATACCAGTCTTTCAGGCTATATTTCACCAGTAAAAAGGTTTTCCTTTTTATTTTGGACGTTCACATTAAGAGTTGCATGTTAATAAAAGTTTTAGATTTTTTAAATAAATAACCACCCAGGCACTGTTTTTTTTCAGTAGGATTTATCTTGCTGTGTGTTGGTCATAATACATTGTTTGTTTTTTAGAGAAAGACAGCCTTTTAGGGAACATTTGAGCAAAGTGTTTAATGGGTAAAGCTGTAAAAAAAGTTTTACTATATGTCGACGATGGTGCCTTATAAGTATAGAAATGTTGACTAAAAACAACTTTCCAGCAATATTTAACTATCAGCCAAATATTAGAGTTGAACTAACACTCCTATTAATGTACAGGTTCCTGCACACTTCTGTTTTATTATTTTCATCTGTAAGATACACAACCAAATAAAGACTAATGAAACCAGTTAAGTTCCAGGTTTAGGCTTTTTACTTTCTGAGCTCAAGAAATTTTTTTTGGTGAGGAAAGATCAGCTGAAGTTAGCATTTTCGGGGGCGACTCGGGAGCCAATGCACTACTTTTATATTCGTAGATATGCATTATTTGAGGATGATGAATACATTTGCTACCTTGTTGTTTTTGTTTTTTCCCAAATGAAACCAAAAATTTGGGGACTCTTCCATTGATGGACAAAAAAAGCAGATGAAATGGTAAAATTGTGTTGAAATAATATTGGGGGGGTTTGATTTGCTCGTGCCTGTTCCTGTTATTTTGTCCATGTACCATATTTTCTTGCACACTTTGCACTCTATCCAAACCATAGTCTGCCATATGCATTACTCATAATATTTAGGTAATCTTCATTGAATGACTCCCTTATGTTATGTTGGCATGTATGAATACTCTTATGTTTGTGTCTGTATACCTCAACAAGACCAAATATGCAATGACTGTAATATGCAGTGCAATAATGTCCCAACGACCTTCTTGCATGTAAATGTGTAAACTGCCAGTGACTTGAGTTCCCCTTTCCTGATTTATCTGTGACTTTAAAGGGAATTTCCACTGGGTGTAAACTGATACTCCTGTGATGTGTTTGGTGACCAAAAATCACTTTCAGGCTCGACATCTTTAAGAAATGTTTTGGTTTGACTTTAGATTGTTAGAGGAAAACTTGCAACATTCTGATTGTTTTAAATTATATTTTGAGCTTGAATCCACACTTTTGTTCCAAGCTCATTATTCTTGTTTGTGTGTGGTGAATATATTAATTGACTGCTAATTTATTATTTGACAATTAAAAAAAAGTAGTTTTTAAGTAATCTTATCTCAAGGTCCATTTACTAGATTATTTTTCTTAAGCTTTCAGTTGCATTTGGGAGAACACCTGGTAATATTGGCTTAAAGAGAGGTTTCTGGGATTGCACAGTCATCAGTTATAGGAAATCTGCAAGACAAAGTTGAAAGCTAAGGAGAAAATCTAATAAGATGACCTTGAATTGGTTTTTGTGGGTTTGTATTTGATGTGTATATATTTTTTTCCCTTTCATTAAGTCAGATGGTGGTTACACCCATCTTGCCAAATCTAATATGTCTAGAAAAGATAAGCCACAGTCTTTGAATTGCCTTGAATTGACTGAATTGAGTTGACTTTGTCTGCTTGTTTTTTATTGAAGCAGAAAGAGTTTGGGGTTTTCACCAGGCAAATGAAAGTTTGGGGATTTTTTCCAACAACACCACCACAGTTTGTTGTCAACTGGCTTTGTTTCAGCAATTTGATTATCAGTCAGCTTTTTCTCAGGATTTTACCCACAGGGCTAAAGTAAAACTAAAAGTGAAAATATAAATTTTGCTTTATATTAGACTTGAAGAAAAAGGACCAAAATGTATGTAGATACAAGGCAAAATTATTTTACTCTGTATATGTTAATAAACCTTTGAAATAAAATCGATAAGTGTACAAATATGATAGATTTTGTTCATGAATTTCTGATTACGGCTTGATTTTGACAGTTTGACTCTGTAATCATTTCAGATTTTACTCAGATTCATTAAATCTTTTAATTTCAGTTTCACAAATTCCCA